ATTATTTTGAATACTGAACAGATATAGTCTCTTTTTATTTATTTTGTTGTTCAAATTGAGGAATTATCGTTAACTTTCGAACATATTTACATATCGGAGAATATATATCTTAGTTTCAACGAAATTATCCAGTAAAACCTACAATTGTTTATTCAATGACCATTATTTTTAGGGACTTTATTAATTTGACAACCGCTCCGACCCCTTCGTGAGGTGATTTCAAAAACAACACTATTCGCCTAGTTTATCTGTTTGAACTGCTTAAGAGAACGAAGAGTTGATAAGTAGATGTGTTCAATACTGTGAAAATACATGTTTGTCCCCTGTCAAATATACAAAAACAAGCTCCCGTATGCTCCCATTAGTCTAAATCTCTTCGGCTGACGTTGGAATAACATTAATTCGAGGGCGGCCATTTTGAAAATGTTGGTTTTGAATGCTGCGGACGTGAAACAAAATGACCGTCACCGCAAACAGGTTTTCCCTGAATCAGTAATAATCGGGATTATGAGTAAAAGTTCACATATGGAAATATTTGGAATTTCACATTTCAGAAAGTGGATTCGTTCGAATTTCATCCCTGTAATCAACAAACAAACAATGTAGCTACATTGATTATGTACTTGTACTTCTTATGTAGGATCAATGTTTTTTTATAAAAATAACTCTTATATTCCTCATGATATATATCATTGTAAGGACGTTATATTGATCAGTAAATATGAACCATCCTATTATACTGAGTTATCAAACAGAGTTACGAATGTATAACAAATCCTCGATGGTAAACATAACAGAAGTTCAATTGAAGGCCACCTAAAAATTGCTCTGCATTTTGGTAGTTAGTACTGGAACCTCTTGCGTAAAATAAATATATTGGAAACACTTTCCCAACACCGGAACAAAAATTACGGTCTCTCGTCGCTCGTTTCGCTAACCAAGTTAACGTCCTCAGGGGATCATTATGACTAAATTTTACTACTATGTTAGTGATTTTATATGCTAGTGGACTCAGTACTACCTGGTAGTATTACCTAACTACTACCTGTTATTGATCCTATGCTGAACTACCTGTTTTGAATACCTCTAATTTGTTATGTATTTCCTCTATGTTTTCTGTCTGTTTTTAATTCAGAATCATTACGTATAAGACCAAACAAAGGAATGTTGAAATAGAAACTTTGTCGCTATTCATAGAACGCATTCCGACTTTTCGATTTCCAAGCTTTTAAAGGAATCCAGAAACATATTGTCATGTACCGGTCTCAACAATTTTAAATATTTCCCACTTATTCTATGGTCATTCTTTATGGTCTATGAAACCGAACATGCGAAACATATTCCTTGTAGCGAGCTAATATAGTTAGTTTGGTTTGACCAACATATTTCTGCGAGGATTGTGATAAGAAATATGTTGGTCAAACCGAACGGACTATATTAGCTCGCTACAAGGAACATGTTTCCTTGAAATCTATGGTTTCATTGACCGTAGAAATCTAGTGTCGCTCAACATGTCATAGAGAACGATCACAGAATAAGGGAGACCGGTATATGACTAAAAGGTTTCTGGATGAATTCAAAAGCTGGAAAATCCAAAAGTATGGAATGAGTCCTATTTCGAACAGCCCTTTGTTTGGTCTTATACGTGATAATTCTAAACAAAAAACAGATAAATATCAGAAATGAACTCAAGATGTATGAACCTCTGAAGAAGCTAGCCACTCGCACTAGCGGAAAGAAATTCCAAAAACCGACGGCCTTCAAATCCGAATAAAAATACTGTCACTGAAAACCTCGGCCCGAAAGCTTTAATTATTTTGTCATCGTATTTATGTTTCTCCAAGGTCACATGGAGAGATTGAAATAACTTACACATTTTCATCATCAATGACAACAAGGATGCATATTTGATAGAGGACTAACTATCTATAATTACTATATAGGTTACTGGAGTTTTTCCCAACACCAAATCGTTATTTTCAACACCTCGACACGTGTTTCGATCACCAAGTGATCATCTTCAAGAGGGAGATTAAACTCAATCTTCCCCTTGAAGATGAAGATTGAGTTTAATCTTCCTCTTGAAGATGATCAATTGGTGATCGAAACACGTGTCGAAGTGTTACAAAACTCCAGTAATATTCATTACTACGCCAAAAGTTCCAAACAGTGCATCACAAGTACTATATAGGTCTTAAGAAATATAAGACAAAGTTTGTGTGTTCGTGAGAGGGCTTCAAACTTTCTCCAGAAAAAAAATTATGAAGTGAATTCATTAATTTTGCAATGAATATATGCTGCAACTTTATTTATGTTGACCTGATTGTACATTTCTGATAGTACTTGTATTGTTTCAGATATACTGTCATAATTCAAAATACCTAATGCGAAAAATAAAATTGAAATGAGTAAAAATGAAATCAATGGCAGCATCAGTCGAATTTCAATACTTTTGTTTCATTGCTATCTAAATGCTCCTAATACTAAGATAACATTTTGAATCCAATGAGGTTTCATGGCTGGTTCATATACAAAACTTTTACTTTTTTTTCATTATTGTTGATTTCAAGAGTGTTGTCACAATGTAAATAAATAGAAGAATTCATACACAAGTGGAAGTAGTAAGTAATGTGTATCAAGGCCCTTACTGATTAACATTGTGATAACTTCCTAAAAGTAAAAGATGAATTGAAAGTAAATATTTGGCGTATGAAGCAGCCAATAATTGTTCAAAATATTACTTCCTTCAATCAATTTTTGTGATTGGCCAAACGATAGTGTTTTCTCTGGGTACAAGCACTTTTTCTGGGTGGAGGCAAACAAATTTAAGGTTGGAATAATGTTATTAATATACTGTTCGGACTATAAACTGTATCTGAAACAAGGAAACAATTTGTTGTTATCACTTTTTAAACGATTGACAGGTAATGAATGAATTTCATAAGTTGCTATTTTGACTTAAGTTACCAAAAAGTGAAATTTATTATTTCAACTTATCCTTCAACGGCATTATGAATGAGTGTATAAAGTGAATTTTTCCCAGTTGAATTACACTATTAACAGTATTTTCATATTGTGCTAATCTTTGACTGCAACTGGTAAAGCTTCTGATTTGAGTGGAACCTATTCTTTCAGGTTGTCATTCATGAAGTGTGGAAATCTAAGAGAACTGTGGTAAACTCATAAACATGCTTGTTGATCTCTCTTACTCCCATGGATTTCCTACTGAACAAAACTTTGTGAATATCAGTGATATTCTTCATGATATGTGAATGGAACTACATTGATATTACAGTGTGTCCCGCTTTTTGTAAACCCACCCCTGTTTCTCAATTGTTGAAATGAGATTTCTACCAAATTCAGCCAGATAAACGTTCAATATTCGAACAATGAACAACATATATTTTTTACTGGCATAGAATATTACAAGGGGTAGGGGTACTATTTTAAGTTTTATTGAACTTCAAATTCAAAATTGAAATTAATTTTTTGGAAATATCACTGTTCATTTTCGGTTCTAGTATTTTTTATAAAACTTCGTTCTATTCTCATACATTTTTCTGTCACTTCTCTAAAACGCAAATAAAGTTTTCTTCAAGTTTGAGAAGTAATTTCCTGATTTCTTCATATTATTATATATTTCCTTGAAGAAGTTGCGAGAGGTAATGTGTATTTTCTTTCAAATATGTAATGTTGATAATCGATTTTTTTTCAAATTATATAAGATATCAAGCGAAACATTGGATTGATGTACCTTGAATTTAGACAAAATAACAACTATAGCCAAGTTTTCTTTGAAAGTAGTTGACAATGTTTCGTGGTGCATTTCATTAGTTTTCCATTGCCTACTATGAAATAAATTGATTTGAAATACCTGAAAGAATCTGTGAAGAAATTAAAGAAAAAGAGAAATTAGCTGAAAAAATAACAATTATATGGAGCAAGAAACCGAAATTACAATAAAAATAAAATACAAGCAATACCCAAAAAATCAAAAAAATAGACTGTTAACCCGAGATGGAAACTAAAAAGTTACTAACAAGAAATGAAAATTAAAAATTTAAAGATTCCAAACCAAGTTATTTCACGAAGTTTCGATTGTTAGTATCCACAATCGTCTTCCGGTGATAACTGGACTTATTCCTTAGAGATCTGACTATTTATAGGTCATTCGAGTGCTTTCACCTATCCCCTGGAGAGAGGGAAGAGGGAATGTCCGAACTAATTAAATATAGCCAAGTTTTTATTATTCATCGATGTTGAACGCGTATTCATTAGTTAACGGCTGAATGTGCTGATGAATTTACTTGCCATATTTGTTCGATTATCAATGAATATCAATCTAATCATTCAATTTAATGTTTGAAACAAATGGCACAGAACAGACAACATGTGACCGTTGTAGAAAAAGGTGGAACTATTCGACAATTTGGCGGCAAAAAAAGTCAAGTGGTTCAAATATTTCATCAGAGGAGGAATATCATTGACAAAATGGTATTGAAGCATGCAAGCCAGAAGGGCGGATTCAATTCTGCTTGTGGACACAAGGAATGTTTCTAGAGAAACTCAAAGGACCAATATTTCTGGAAACTTGGATCGTGTTGGAAATTATCTGAAATGAAAGCTCCTTTCGAAGTGGATAAGGGCGTAATAGCCCCTAAAAGACTGACCTCCGAGAAACACCAAATCTTATTCGTTATGATTTTCTCAGTGTGGACATTTCAAAATCGAAATATAGGCTACTTGAATACCCACTTAGAAAGATCTGTTCGAAGGAATAAGGCAAAGTTTCCAGGATATCACTTCTCAAACTTTGATAAAATTTCAGTCCAGTTTTTGGAAACTGTTAGGAATTTGCATTCAAATAAAGGAAGAATACGTAACAAAAAAAATTGAAAAAGGGATCACTACCTTTTATATGTTCTAATATTTTCGAAAAAAATATGGGACAAGCACGTGCTTTCATGGAAAATGAAAATTTGTATTTTTTTCTCCATTGGCCAAAAGATTTGATTTCGAAACAAAAATGAGATGTGTTTTTTAGTTTGTATTTCAAAATTGAATGATTCTCATTCACATATTCACGTAATATTTTATTGTGAGATTCGAATGTTTTAATGGATTTTCATCAAGTATCTATCGGCGAGGTCTAACACACATCTAAATTTTTGATATTTCAATTCAACTATCGCAAGTAAAATACTATGCTCATAAAAGATATATATCTTTCATTACTTTATAGAAGTACATTCGAAGATCCACCAACGCAAAGAAATCGCAGAGTCAACAACTGATATATAGAAATGGATTCATTGAAAACGAGTCACATTGTATATTCTTCATTTCATGAATTGGATTCATATTGATTTGGATAATTTTTATACTTTTATAATGTCTTTGTTATTATTATCTAAAACAACATTGACCTGCATTTCACGTTCCTCATCAATAGTAACTGAAAAATAACACTGCTGACCCAACATGTAGAAAAAGTATTAGCCCAGTAGCCTTAGAAATCGATTTTTATTGAAATATTTTGGAATTCCACATATACTGGTTTTCACTACAAGAACTGGACTCAAAGAAGGTGGAGTACCTCATTTTGAAAAAGTGCGCAAGGCGGTCCAAAAATTAGCCATACCCGAAAGCGTGAGATACATCTATAATGTTTTTTTTAATTTGAACACAACTTCAAAAGGAAGGGGTAAGCGGGAGCCCTAGGCACGTGAACTATTTCTTATCATGCCTTTGATGGATTTATGATGTCACGTACGATTTCGGCTATTTTGGCGGCAACGACGTTTCGAACGTTCAATCCGTATTCGGTGCCTGGGCTATATCGGAGTTGAGCTGGTTCTAAGGAGGAGCATCTGGATCTTCGGGACGGGATGGCTACGAAACAATGATATGGGGCGCGGAAAAAAGCACCGCTAACGTGGCTATGATAGTGAACAGAGTGAATATAATAAGGCACAATCTGTCGACCACCATTGCTGCGAATTTCCAGTCTTTGGTCACTGTCGCGGCTTCGTCTTCCTTGCGCAGCTGATCTGTGATAAATCGGATCTCTTTCAGTATCATAGCCAACTCGTAATCAGCGCTGATACAGGCATGGTTGCTCGAAACTATTGACGATTCATGAAGGCGCGGCCCACCACCATTGGTGCTCTCCTCGTTTTGCCTGAAAAGAGGAACGAGCATGAGTAGGAGGACATCTCATGAAGTTATATAAAAAAAGCGTTATATTCCAGGGCTATTGTTGATTTTGAAGTACAACTACCAACACCGTGCCAGTAGGTGGAAGTGTTATATAACTGAAAAATGTATCATTCTATCTACCTTGCTTATCTCAACAGATATTTCATGAAGAAGGTATGGCTTTATGGAGTCTTTATTAAAAAAATCAACCTTCTCTAGAAAAACTCCATTTCCGAAAATCTGCTTAATTCTACTAATTCGAAAGTGTATTTGTACTTTGAGTAGAAAAAACAGTGCAAGTAGTTTTTTAGACACCTTCAAGTTGGCGACATTGTAATTCTTGATATTGTTGGATCACAAGCTATTAAGGATGGCGGTAAGCGTTGTGACCGTATAACTCTATTATTTGGTGGGGTAAAGTTGCTATGTGGTATTTCATCTGCACAGGTAGTTTAATACCTTCTCATGTGCCACGGAGAAAAATAAATTACGAAAATATAAGAACACGGGATTTCAAGGCTGGAGTCACAATGAGATTTAATCTTCTCTAATAACAAAAATGTCCTAATTTTGATAAAAAATCATTTCATTGGCCAGGTTTCCATCGAAACCATTGCCAAAAATTTCATAATTTATTCTAGAAACTACAAGGAGATGGCGTCAGGAATTCCATGAGTCGGAATTAACATTGCTTTAATACTGTCCACGGCGGGTTGGCTGTCCTTGTTCATCTTTTACTGCCTGAACAACTGAGCATGCTGTTTTCGGCGAGTGCATTGGCTCGGGATGTGGGGGTTGAGCAAACCGGCCATCGGATGCCTGCTTCCACGTAGCCCCGCTGGAATGACAGAATCACTTGTGGTTGTGTTATTCCCTAACTAAATGGCATCCTAACAGTGACTTAATCCTAAGGTGTGTGTATCCGTTCCGAAAGGATGAATGACACTGAGCCTATCAGTTGCCTCTAGGGAACCTTCGAGATACCGGGCGCCCTCCCGTCGTAGCACCGCGGTAGTGGGGGGCTCTGCCGTGATTAACGTTCTTTCCCTAGCTACTCGTGGGACTTATGGACAGAATGAACTTGAAAATTCTTTCTGACGCTGAGTCTATAGAGGAGACGGATGTCGAGATTACGACTCCAATTGACCTCCTGTAAACTTAGATCAGGAGCGAGTCTACAGAGGAGATGGATGTCGAGTTTACGACTCCAACTGACCTCTTTGTAAATTTAGTTCAGGAGCGAGTCTACAGAGGAGATGGATGTCGAGTTTACGACTCCAACTGACCTCTTTGTAAATTTAATTCAGGAGCGAGTCTACAGAGGAGATGTATGTCGAATTTACGACTCCAACTGACCTCCCTGTAAATTTAGTACAGAGCGAGTCTACAGAGTAGATGGATGTCTAGTTAACGACTCCAACTGATATTCCTGTAAATTCAGTTGAGGAGCGAGAGCTTCTCAACTCCTCAACTCCTAATCCAACAACTGAACCTTAAAAAAAAGGTTTGGTGGTGCAGCCAGAAAACGACTAAGTCGTCTCCTCAAGAGCGTGTTACCTTATAAAACCGCCTTGCACCAGATTATTGAGCGGCGTACGCCGAATCTGTCTCAGGTGGGAAAACAAACCCCCATGAGCAGGTTAGCAAACGTTTGCGCTTAAGTGATGATTCAATAAAACCAGAGGCGAAAAAGCCCTGCACGGCTGAATCTAAGGCATCGTCAGGTGTAGCTGACGTGCAAAAACCCTCATATAGGAAGCTTGTCGTGGATATCAAGATGTGATTCTTGCAACTTGACTATCGGATTACCTCATTAACAGAGCATATACTTTGTGCTTGTCCCGCTGGGGACCGAATCAAGTCTTTACAGTTTGCCAGAGCTGTAGTCTTATACCATCTGACCTGAAAGACTACTCACCATACAAACTGATCGGCTTCGTTAAGAAACTGGGTTTATTTGGTAGAGTGTGAATAGGTTTGAGACACAATAAACTCTTGCGGGTTGCGGTGGAGGGTCGAATAGACTCACTCACTTTGGACTCAACCAAACCTAATACCTTATGGAATCATCAAGCCTCAGATTCTCTGAAAGATTATTTGTTTATCCATCTACAAGCATTAAGTGATTACACTTCTATTCAGGTCTACGAGTGTGTGACTGATAGTGGCGATGGACTTTGTTGTTGAAGTAGATTAATTTGGTGAATTTAACAGCTACACCTGACACCAGAAGCATGTCCTGCTGCAAGTCACCTGAAATCCTAATGCTGTCGGCATGTCACGCATATGCGATCTCAGCATATAAGTATCCATGGACACAACGCGGCCCTGTGAGAAAATTGTTATCATCCAGGGTACTTTTACGGTATTGACAAGACACGGGTCTTGCCCTACGCTCCGGGGGATACTGAATCCTTCGTGGAAAATAGGAAGTGCTAAATTTATTGGCTCATATAATCAGATAAGCCTGATGTCATTGAATGGCATATCATAATTTTCACTCCAAACTTCGACTTTATTCGGACCACTCTGCAAAGATCGTTGTTCAAATTATTGGAGTCCTCGGTAGAATGATGCCCCCTCAACTTTCTTTAAATGCAGAAGGCTGTCACTCTTGGCTCATTGCGTCTACTTAGGGCAATTGATTCTCTGACACAATGATCACTTACCCCACGGTGTTGGTAGTGGTCATCGATTGATAATGCTGGCGTGTATTCCGGAATGTATGGGTGCTTCGAAAATAGGGCCCGACCAGCTCAAACTTCGGAAAAATAATAGTCTCATGGTTATGTCAACTTGCCTCAGCGAGGCAAAAATCTTGGCCTGACATATGCAGAAGGCTGCTGGCATTATAGGTTTATTGTGTCTACTTAGGGCACATGATTTTTGTATCTAATGATTAAGTACATCAATTGTGAGATGTGGTTGCTAATTGGTAGTGCCGGTGCACACTCTGAATGTGTCGGAGATATGGTTCGACCGGCGCAAACTTTTAGGTGAACGCAAAAGACAGAAATCTCAGTTGGACAATAGCAGAAGGCTGTCATTTTTGGCTCAGTGCGTTTGCTTAGGTCACATAATTCTCAGACGGAATGACAATCGTGTGGTGAGGTGTGGAAAATGGTCATTGGTCGATAATGCTGGTCGCCAATCAAAAAGTATCTGTTTTATCGACAGGGCCCGACCAGTTTTTTTTAGGACAAAACACAAACACTACAGAAAAATCCTTAAGGCACCCTAAGAGCGGTGCCTGTGCGAAACAGGCGATTTACATCGAATTTAAATCTTTGGAGATTAAATCACTTTGGAAAAACATTTTCAGGAAGTTAATTCCACATTAATGCAGTTCTTCAAATGAAAGAGTTCTTAAACAGTAAAGTTCAAGGTGTACTGAGTTGAACCTCGAAACGATGAGCAGTCCGTCGTGTATCTTTGATATGAACCGCTCTTGGTGGAATCAAATGTGACAAGTCAATTGAACATATTCTGTGAAAGTATATATCAAAGATAGACAAATCTTCAACCTTTCTTCGATGTTTCAGACTATAAACGTTGTAAGTGATGTTCGCGTCTTCAATCAGGCGGATGGCTTTTTTTTGGATGGAATCCAGCAACTTCAGGTTATGCTTAGTTGCGGAGCTCCATACTCCAAAGAAGGTCTGATTTGAGCTTTGTAAAGCATGAAAAATTGCTGAAGTGTATACAGTTCTGGTTCGGATCAGTGTTACAAGCTTCTGAGAAGCAGCCTTTGCAATTCCAGCGACATGATTGTGCCAAGACATATTGATGTCCATTTTAACCCACATCAAACTTATCGAATCAGAGAGCAGAATTGCTTGTACAGACATTATTATATCTGGTTCAGAGACATATATCTTTTTGTAGAAAACCGATGCCTGGGTTCTTGTGGCATTGGATTGAACCTGGTTAGTTTCACCCCTATTCGAAATCACTTCTAGATCCTTATTAAAATATGCAACTTCCTGATACCGGTGAAGATGTGCTTAGCCTTCGATGAAAAAAATAGTTATACTGCTTTTTTTTTTGAAAAAGTGCTACATAAACGAGACAGAAGAGTAGTATTCAACTCGGTGGCTCAGTGTTTGTATTGATTGTTTTTTTTTATTATATAGCTATTCCCGGCGATTTTGTTTGGGTGTCGTTGAATTTTTGGGCTTTTCCAGATTTTCTAACCTGAAAAAGTTACCTCTGGCCTATCTCTGATTAATAAAAAAATTATAAAAAGAAAGTTTCACATACTATAATTATAGTTGAACAAAGTCCTAACCAAATCAGCTGAACAATATTTCTATATAATTTTTTCTAACAAATTTTTGACGTGATTCGTCAAGTTGATAAAACATTTTCATTCATGAATCGATTGAAATAAGTCAAACACTAAATTCGAATTGAAACTTATCACAATACACTCGTGAAAAACATCAAAATTGTTATATTTACCTATAAACTGTCCTAAAAAAGGTCGCCGGTGGCAGGGGAGTGGGAGTTCCGCCACCCCTGTAGTTGTGTCTGAAATCGTCGTCTATGTCTAAAACGTTGGCTAATAAACTTTTGGAAGAGCGCTCCTTCAATTCCACCTCCGGAAAATGGATCGGTTTCCTTTCTGGTGGCGAAGGTCGATTTGACGATGGTACGTAGTCGTTGTTTTCGGGGGGTCTCTGCATGCGGAGAACCCATGGAAGCCAACACAAAAACACAACGCGTATCTGAAAAAAAGTTTACACATATTCATTCAATGGGTTGATACCGTATCCCGATTATTGTACTCCCGAAGGCGATAATGCAGCTAGAATAATTGAACGTTTGAATAGCGATAGTCTAGCTCATGTGCCCTTGTACAAAATTTCAGTCCTCCCCAAACAAAAATTATATGATTGAAAAAGTTGTGCAAACAAAGAGTTCTATATATCCTGAAATGATGGTATCAATATTTACACTTTCAAATGAGCGGTAAAAATGCGTGTAAAAACGAGTGGTTTGGCTCTGGCACGCGACGCGACGCCCGATTCAGTTGCATCAAAAATTATTTTGAACCATTGAATATGAATATTGTATGAATATATACTCGGTGTGGAAAATTGAATGAATGATGAGCTGGTAAAATAATTCTATTGCAGTTTCCCTCTCAATTATGCTTTTGTTAAATAACAATCTTTTCAAGGTTGAAGGTTTACATGAAAACCTTGATTAATTTTGAAATTGAATTCTGTTTATAGACGATGTTGAAGTAGATCGTTTGCCGGGAAGAAGAAGATGAAAAATTATGAATATTTTTTAAGGACAAAACACAGGCAGTACAGAAAAATTCTTAAGGCGCTCTAAGAGCGGTGCCTGTGCGAAAGTAGCGATCAAATTTGGATTTGAATCGCTGGAGATTGACACCACTTGGAAAAACAGCCACAGTCCATCGCGTATTTCTGATGTGTACTCTTGGTGAAATCAAATGTGCCAAGTCATTTGAACACTTCCCGCGAAAGTATAGTTCCAGACTATCAAGTTTGCAAGTGGGTCTCCAATCAGGCGAATGGCTCTTTTCTGGATGCAATCCAGCAGCTTCAGGGTACGTTTGGGGGCGGGGATCCATACATGAGAAAAATACTCCAAGGAAGGTTCGATCTCAGCTTCATAAAGTATCAAAAGTTGCTGTTTTCGTAACTGGTTCGACACAGTGTTCCGAACATTGGAGATTTCTTTGCAATTCCAGCGACATGATTGTGCCAAGACACATTGGTGTCCATTTCAACCCCCAACACACTTATCCTGGAATCCAAATGGAATGACGAGACAAGTGTAATGTCGTCAGCAAATCAATATATTGGATTCTAGTTTTTTTTTTCAATAAACATCAGCGTTGATGGCACACATATTCGAGACAAATCCATCGCAGTCACTTTTAGGAGACGTCCTTTCAGGAAGCTGAAGAGCCATAGCCAAAAATGATCCGACACGCCATAGCATCGAAATTTGGCCAGCAAACCCTCATGCCACACACGGTCAAAGGCCTTAGAAATATCAAGTGCAACAGCTTTCGATTGCTTTATTCCAAATATGGATGCCATGTTGATCTTTCTTTCCGAAAGCTATATTGATGATCGCTCAAGATATTAAAGCCTTTCAAATATTTGAAGATATGGTGGTTTACGGCTCTCTCAATGATTTTTCATATCACTGATAGTGAAGCGACTGAGCAATAGTTATTTGGAAGAGTTTTCTTGCCCTTCCTGAGAAATGGCTGAACGTGAGATCTTCCAACAAGAAGGAAAAACCCCCCCTTATAAGACAGGTTGGAAGTCTACGAAATACTGGTGCGAGTTCATTTGCTCACTTTTCAAGTACGATGACGGGCACTTCATCAGGACCAGACTCCTTGACTAGACTTCGTCGAAAAGTAATTTCTGCATTTGTGGATTCTAGTGTGGAAATAGTGGGTGGTGGAATTGTGGATTTTGTAAAATTTTGATTAACAGCTTTTGTTATCGAGCAGAAGGATCTAGACCCGTTGGGATTGGCAAGCAGTTTATTCCTAATTCTTTGATTGTGAAGTTCTCTGCTTTCAGTTTGCAGCTGTTCCGAGCATTAACAAACCTAGTCCAGTTTTCGACACTGGGAATTTTGCGCCACTGCCGGTAGGCGAGACTTCTGGAGGCGTCAGCTTGCTCGCAATTTATTGAAAAAAATAAATGTATCACGTATACTATAGCAAATGACATCTTGACATTTCATCCTTTTGACGTATGTCAAAAGAAATACAGCTTTTCATAATTGGGGCGAAAATTTCAAGGTGAATTTTGAGTTTTGGGAACGGAAAAATATTGTTTTTCGAAGGTATAGAATATGAAGGTATAGAACGCAGTAACTTTTTGGAGTGATCTTTTCTCTTTGTCCTTTTTTACACTTTATTGGATCCTCTATTGATTCTCTATTGATCCGTGTCAGGAATCACACGTTAAAAGGTAAGACCTCGTTAGTTCTTAGCTCGCACAAGTTTCTCAACTTTTGAGAGTTGTCTTTCGTATGGGGACGACAGCTGATTAACGAAAAAACAGTTTATTTTTTGAACAGATTCATTTTTGTTTATTTTTCAAATTTTGGGAGGATATATACCAAAAAACAAATGAGAAATATTTTGTTCTTCACAAACAAATGTCTATTGAAGAGTACTTTTTGATTAATGGAACTAGCGTCGAGAAGAGTGTTCGAGTTTTAGTGTTTGAAAACAGTACTATTATTCTAAGCCAAAGGTTCCAGTTCCACCTTTCTTCATCAAATAATCAAATTTTTTCCATTTCTCAATAGTTATTTTTCATGGATTAAAATATTCATTTGTTGAAGCGACCGAGTAGGTCATCGCGTGCGTGAGCCGGATTTTACATAAATTTTCACCGCTAAATTAAAATTATGAATATTGGTGCTACTGTTTAGTGAGGTGTGAATTTTTATTGTATTTTTATCATGAATATTTGATTTTTCATCAAACATTTTCAGCTTTAGATGCATTTCGCCAACACCATTTCTACCGAGGGAGCTATGGTGTTAGCGAAACGGGTCTAGAAATAAAAATGTTCGGGAAAATTATGTTTTCATCATCAGGTCACTCCGTTCATGATACAAATAGTTTTTGAGATATTCGCAAAAAATGAACACCTCTTTTTTGTTTCAATAAATTGTTTAAAACTTTCAGGCTATTAGATAGCACAACGCAAATCGCGAATTATTTTGGGTACTCGTGTACTAGACTTGGAGAAACTTTCGAAATATACGCCTACCCTGTGTCTGTAACCTTCGACCGTGGAACAGTATGCGGGTGAACACTGGAAGGGATCCGTAACCAAATAAATAATCTTGAATGTGGAGTTTTGAATACACGTACGAAACTAGGAAATGAAGAGCTCTCAGATGTCGCGTTCGAAATTTATTGAAACGTGAAAGCGCTTTCGACATTCATTCATCGTCGGTACGTGTGGCCGGGAAAACAAGTGGGTAGGGCAAATATTTGTTCTATATTCGAGACTATTTCATACGAATAATCGTGTATTCCATTCTCATTGAAACATATCATATTTAATGTTCGGTGTGTCAATATAACCCAGAAAGCTGTTATTCTCTGGTTGATTATACAATATAAATTATAATACCTATAGGGCCAGACCAAGAGTTGAAATCAGTTTTGATAGATTTCTACAAATGGTCAATGAATACGCAGAAATAGTCATGACGCAGAGGATTTCATTGTTGAATTCTTCAAGACTTGATGAAATTGTTTCCAAAATTCAAAAAAGTGGACTCTTGGTAATATTGACCTTCATAGTAATGAAGTCGTATTGGACTAATTTGAGAACCATTGTTGATCATAAATTGGTACCTATTGAAAACATTTTTTCCAAACCAGAACTGAAGCGCCTTGTTACTCGACTTGCATCATCAAAAGATGACTGAAACTAAATCTCACAACTGAATTGGGCCTACTATATACATTTTTACGAACCATTCAGTATGGAGAGAAAATAAATGAAGATAATTGAATGAGTGTCTAGTATTATTTATTATACTTGTTTCCTAATCGTCCACTGGTTTCTACTTTCAAATTATTATGCAAGAAAGTGTATAACAGACTGTTCTCGACTTATAAACTTCAAAAGGTGACTAAAAGCCTATCTCAACAATTTCAAGCACTCATTTTTTCTGTGGCCGTTCTCTATAGCATGTTGTGAGACACTTGTTTTCTCTGGTCTATGGAACTTAATATGTAAAACATATTTTATTGACTTAATAATTTTGTTACGATCCTAACACGATCGTAAATCTCAGACTTTTTTCCGTCCTCCTGTATTCGACTAAGCACTATTAAAGTGTAGGGACAGTTTCAAAGCAATCTTCATGTTAAGTTCCTCGAAAATTTGGACCAGTTATTCAAAATATTTCAGTCATCATGTTATGAAAACGATAGAATGGTCCTCTACCATGTAACCATATTATGGAACTTTGAGACCAGTGGCAGAAACTAGTCCCACGAGAGAAAAATAAGTAAAATGAGACTTTGATACCATAAATCAGACACGAATAAGTGAAACATTACAATCCACACATGACAATTAAAATTCTAACATCACACTATGAAGTGAGACCTAAGCAAGTGCAATGAGCCAAGAATGACAGCCTTTTGCATTTGTCTGGCTAAGAGTTCTGCCTCACTGCGGCAAGCCAGCATGATCTTGAATTCCGAGAGCGGAGATGGCATCATTTCACCAAGTACTCCAATAATCGAAGCAACCATCCTGACAGAATGGTCTGGATAGAGTCTGTGGAGTTCGAAGAGAACATCTCGATATTTTATCCATTCTTCCTCTTCTTTTCGGACGATATTCGTCTCGCCAGGAGCTGAAAACTTCACTACAAATATAGTCTTGTTCTGGTGGTCAAGAAGAATTACATCAGGCTCATCAGCAGTATGATCCTGATGATGGGAAATAGTTGCAATGAATGTGCTACTTCTTGTTCCTCTCAACTGACTCAATATTCCCCAAACCGTAAGGCAACACCGGTGTCTCGTCAATACCGTAAAAAGTAATAATAAAGCAATCTTAGGGCTGCGTTATGTCGAAGGGTATGGGCTGAGACCGCATATGCTGGACATGCATTAGTGTTACATGTGCCTCGTGGCAGGAACTACACCTTGTGCCTAGAATCTCTATACCCATCACATAAC